CTGAATTACAATCCTGGCTCCGCCCCTGACATCAAACATGATTGTCTATATGAGTTTCCGGATGTTTAAAAGTTTCCGAATATGAAAAATGACTTTCAGTTTTAACGAATTAATTAGAGTATAATACAGTAGAATCACGGGGTCATCGACTTCTACAATTCATAGAGAATAAATTGCATCGATCCAAATCTCATTTGTTTTGCTCCACGGAGTCCCTTGTAGTAAATTGTAAAAGCCAAACTTAATATTTTCAAATCTATTGAATTCTAACTTATTTCTGGTCATGATCTTCGTTCGAACAGAAGGAATCTGTCCATGAACATCACTAAAAATTTATATACAGGGTCGTGAAGCGAGAGAGGAGGAAACAGATAGGCTGTCCAAAAATTGCTGAAGAAAATACTCTGATCTATTACAATTGTACTTAATTTCAGCAACTTAAAGTTAACATGATTCGCAACTTACGTTCTGAATTATTTATAACATATGAACAGAAGATATCAACGTTATAAATGGACAAGTGAACAAATCAAAATTCAGAAGTTCACTAATAAATCAGACAAAGACGGTGAAGTAAAACTAAAACAAAAGGACAGAAATCTAAAGTGGGTTCCTCTTAATTACTGCCAGTGCAGGTGCAGCTCAGTAATACTACTATTAAAGATGAAAAGAAGATCTTGCACAAGTAAGAAAATAAAAAGTAAGGGTAAAATTACCAGAAATTTGACTTGCACAAGAGCAAAATATGCTGGATTAATCCTCTTCAGGAGTGCATCTCGTTTGAAAGCTCATTGCAAATGGGCGGAAGGTGTTTGATATTTTGCTTTTGGATAAAAAAAAATTTATGCACAAATGGTCAATTGTAAATTAATGCAAAATTACTGGAGAGAGAGAGAGAGGCAATAAACAGGTGTCGTTGATCAGACAAGAGGAGGGGTCATTTTCAACCGTTGTTAAGTTAGGAAAAAATATATACATTTAACCGATTATCAAATTCGAATCTTGATCTAGTTATCAGATTAAGGCTCTAAATTCATTTCTCATTAATTTCATTGAATTCGAATCAAAATTCAATCTATTTACGACCCTATGATATCTATATAGATGACAACAATGTATCGAGGCTTAAGGCGCATGAGCTTGACTCGTGTCTACGAACTAGGCTCGAATTGATTTTTTGGTTCGTGAACTGAGTTTAATCGTCCACAAACTGCTCGTGTTTCTTAAAACAAGTCAATAAAATAAGTTCAAAAAGTCGCATATGGACCGATGTAGGAGTTGAGTTCGTAAATAGTTCGACACGTTTGCCACCCTTGAATCTCTACTAAAAATTCAAATGAAAGCTTTCCCATCTAGCATCGAAAAGTACAATATAATAGAAAACATAATGTTCATGTGGTCTCATCTCGATTTTAACAATCATATGTAGTGAAGAATATCTTATTTTTCATCAAAATCGCAGCTTGGAGAAGATTCCCAAGATCAATTGTAACAATTAGTTTGTAACAATTTTAAAATTAACTAGCAATGTAGGATTTATTTAGTCATTGGTTGTCTCCCATTTTTTCAAAATTATTTTTTCTACATATTCATTTTCAATCACACATTTATAAAATAAAATATTCTACACGTAAATCCAAATCTCACCCTACTTTTTAACCATACATTTTTCAAAAATTACTATCTAAAACAATATTTAAAAAAAAAAAAAAAAAGCTATCAAACTTGGGCTAATGTATACAAAATTCATAGGATGCAACAGTTCACTTACTCAGTAAGCACTTGTTTGAACTTCATTCTTTAAAATTCATTTTCTTCAAACTCATCATTAATCACACGTATTTTAAATAAAATAATGTCGCATGACGACTTGTTCTACACATTAGATAAAGTTTTAAGATTTTATAGTGAACGTCCCAAGCAAGGTCTGGGATAAATCATAAATCGTAATGGTGGTGATAGGACCGTCGAAACTACTACATTAATGGCTAAGGTTCGAGAGTGGAGACAAATTGAAATTATACACGTTTATCCACTATTATCAATCAAATAGTATTTCATGCATATGTTGTTTTTTAATCATTAAATGCATAAAAATCTCTCGTACTGCAAATTGAAAGTTAGAGATCAAAATACATAATTCTCTATCGAGGATGACTGCGGGTTCGATGGTTGCACGTAGTTAGGTGAGTGCGGACTAGGATTTTTCCTTTTTTCCCCCTTATTTCTTTCTTTATAATTCCCTTATTATTATTATTAAAAATACAGAGTGTAATTTATTTCGTTTTCTTTTGTTTTAGCTTTTCCCTTTATTTTATTTTATCATTTTCTTTTTTCCTATTTTGGAAAAGTTCGCCATTGCCCTGAATTGAAAATTTTAGCGCCATTTTAAACACTATAAAAATTGACAAACGAATTTCTGAAACAAAAACGTGACTCAGGAGATGGAGGGAAAGCATTCAAGTCCCCACAGCATCAATTTGCTGAAGAAAATCAAAGGTGAATGTACAATTTCACCTTCAATTTATTTATCGGCTGTTGCGAAATTCAGTTTACGTAAATTTACTCTACTAATTCGAACGTAAATACATATTTTTTTTGCAGATTTCACTCGATCGATCCTCGAAGATCTGTGTAATGGTTGTTCGCCAACCATATACATCGATAAATTCAGAACATACTGCACGGAAAGTTCTGGAAACTGGTTAGATTATGGCAGCATTTTTGTTGTTGTTGTTTTTGTATTTGTATTTTTTGGTTAAAATTTGGAATTCGCAGTTTTAATTACTAACGTTTTTAACTAGCTAATTAGGTTTCTAAATTGCCTAAAGAACGCAAGGTTGAATTTCTCATAGTCTTGTGCGTGATCCATCAGACACTAATTAGATGATTTGTGTCTAGAGATGGATTTAATGGTTTACATAAATTATCTAGAGATCTGCAGGAGAGTTTTTGGAAAATCATTCTATTATCGTTTAATTCTAATAAATTAACTAGTATCCCATTCTTCTTCTTCTTCTCTCTCTCTCTCTCTCTCTCTCAATTTTGCGTATGTACAGCTGTTGCAGCTCTGATTTGCCCAAAGGAAAGGAAATTCTTACACTGCAAAGAGAATGTCATGCACGCAGGATGGGTGAGTAATGCTTATGATAACAAGTTTGGGTAGATTGATGATTGGGACATATGAAGACTAATAATTGGAATTTTAATTCATTGTTGCGTTTCTCTGTATTTTTACCAAAATTCATCATGATACTAGTTAATGACAAACTTTACTATGTTTCTTTTCAATTTACAGATGTATTGCTAAGAGTGCTAATGGTAGTTCAGCAACTTCTGCAAGAAAACAGGCATGCTTCGAAAAGGGATATATATTACATGAATCCTTTAATTTTTAAAGGTAATTTGTCCTCTGGAATTTTTATGAGGAAACTGAAAAAAGTTGAACCGGAACTGAGTTTTAAATTTCATTTCATATTTATGCATAAATGCTTTAGGATGCTACTAATGTATTGTCCTCTGAAAATATATAAGATATGATGCACAATTTAACTATGCATTGAGGTCTTTGTTTAGTATGAATTTCAGACTAATTTTGCTCAGCCCCTATAATTCTCACTCCATAACTACAAGGATTATAAATATTGAGTTAATGTCAGATGAACTTTTTCTGATTATTGAGTTTCTTATTTGTGTCTTTTCTCTTTTTGTTTGGCAAAGCAGAGCAGTCTGTTGTCGACCGGGCAATAAATGACATTTGCATCCTTCTGCATTGCAGTCGTCACAACTTAAATGTGGTATATTGGTGTAATTAGTTGTTCCTTCTATATCTTTTCCAATTTAGAACTGAACAATTAGGATGTGACTTGCTTAGATGTTGGCACATGTATGTGCATATGCTTGCAGTTGCAGAAAAAATATTTGTACAGTGCATCATTGAAGGAGAAAATGTTGAATTAATTTCATGTTAACCCAGTCAAGACACAGATGACATTGATCAAACTTGCCGATTTTATAATTCCTAAATGGGGTAATATTGTAATATGCAATGTTTGTGGAAACTACGTGCCACTTATTCGATCAGCTGTTACTTTTTAGAACGTTAGAAAAAAAAACTTTTAGGTCGCCCAAAAAGTCCTGTTTGATGTAGTTTATTCTTTTGATTAAGGGAGCTCCCAGTATAGATGTTGCTTGGAAAGCATATTAATTTTCAATTTTTATCAATTTAATTGTTAAATGTAATTTTTGATTACAATGTTGCTTATTTGTATATACAATAACACCAATATGTTGTGACTGATGAGATGCATGCTTAGCTACACGTCCTATTTGAAGCATTATCTTGCAATGTCAAAACCTTAAAATTTCCTGTCTTAGATCGATTGATAGATGTGTTTGAAGAGTTTGAAAAAAGTTTTCTGGTTATGCTGATTGAGTCTATGAACTACATTTTGGAAACCTAGCATTATAATATTTTCTCTGTATCATGTTTCCTTTTTGCAGGTGTCAGTTGGAAACGGGTGGGTGCTTACTTATGATATTCTTGATCCACGAGAACAGAAATCAGAATGTATCAATAGAGAATTTTGGCTTCTCAATTGCAAATACAGGACTCTAACTGTAAAAACAATTTTTGGGCGAATACTCTTTCTTCTAGCAGCCACAGAACCACGATTTTATAGCAATTTTGCTTACGTGCTCGTTTGAAATTTTTTCCCACTTTCAAGAATAATAATTTTAAGAGAACTGCACCTACCTATGAGTTACCTGGTTGCCTTAACATAGAACCTGGCTTAAGAATACCAAAATGTAATCTGATTTTGGATTTTGGAATCTACATAGTGAATATCTTTATTTGAAAATAGAAGCCTTCTCTGAAGTCACCTCAGAGGAAGAATTGCAAAAGAATACTAGAAAAAGGCATATATAATTATACATGAAACTGTACGAATATCAAATTAGCATCTCATATACTACATAATTATGTGATCCATTTCAATAAATTACAGAACTACTACCTTTTTTTTTTTTTTTTCTCTCAACTAATATCTACAGAAGCTGTTATTTTTATTACTTCGCATTGGGTCATTGTATATTTCTCTGTGTCTTTGTTTGCATGTAGCCAGTCATATTTTTTGTTTCTTATCTTATTTCAGACTGGTAATGGGATGGCTTAGATTTTCGGAAGCCGGGAGGAAATTTGATTGCATCAACAGTCCCAACACAGTGAGCATAAGAATGAAACTGATGATGATACTATTGGCCCCTTCAACATTGTAAGCTGAGCTAATTGTGATGTCCTGGTTCCTTTGCAGGCACACCCCATTCCTGTCCATGTAGAATATGTAGAAGGTATCCAATTGACAAATATGCATAATATATTAATAAAATTTTATTGGCAGTTTCATACTAAAGTTTTCTTTAACCAATCAAATTGGCTATAATTTTTACAGTTAGAATGTTGTAGTACTCTTACTAGATTATTCTGTTTATCCTGACTTGGTGTAGCAGTAGCAAGTCCATGAATGAGTTCTTTCACTGTTTGCTTAGAGATACATAATTTCCCTTAGCACTTGCTCTAGATATTATAAGTGTTGCTCAGTACATCTTAATTGTGGAGAAAGAATCAGGTATGACATTTTCATTTAGCAGGCTATTGTGGGCTTCAGTAATTTTGAATGAATTCACATTGAATGAAGATTCTATTGGTTGTGCTTTATGTCGTGCAGTTTTTCAGAGACTGGCAAATGATCAGTTTTGTAGACAAAATCGCTGCATTGTAATCACTGTATGATTAGCATGCTTTTATTTATATATTTCCTACAAAACCGCTGCATTGTAACCACTGTATGATTAGCAAGCTTTTAGTTTTATATTTCCTAAAAAGAACTTATGTAACAACTATTTACAGGGAAGAGGGTATCCTGATGTTCCAACAAGAAGGTAAAGATTATTTGCATGGTTACAGCTAAATAGATCAGTATTTCGTTTTAGCCTTCTATTATTTGTACCATGCCTTATTTTCCATCCAGATTCTTGCGTCTCCTTATTGAAACACTGCATCTGACTGCCTATTGCTTGGTTGATTGTGATCCATACGGCATTGATATCTTGAGTACGTACCGATTTGGTTCTATGGTAAGATCTCTTCATTGATATTTTCTTGGCATTACTTCACTATTTGCTACTGCAAGCTGCTTTCTATATCTATCAATTGACGCCACTGGTTCATGAGCAATAAGAATCCTGGTAGCATGCCTTACTAATTATGATATTTGTTATAATCATCCTTTGTTTTCTAAAGCAAATGGCTTATGATGCCAAATTTCTACGTATCCCTGAGATTCACTGGCTTGGAGCTTTTCCATCAGATTGCGAGAAGTATCATCTTCCACAACAGTGTCTCCTATCTTTGACAGCTGAAGGTGAGATGTTACCATCAAAAAAAATTTCTCTTTTCACTGCATTAAAAGCTTTCTATCTCCTCTAAAATCTTTAGGTGTCTTGCTAGATAAGCAGAAAGTTGAAGGCATGTTACTTAGGTGTTACTTGGAACATGAAGTCCCACTTTGGAGGTTAGATTTCGTGACCTGTGCTTCATTTATTACCATACTTTGCAAACAGACTACTGAACTATTCTACAATGTCAAGGGCGGAACTCCAGTTGCTGCTGGATAGAGGGTTCAAGTTTGAGATTGAAGCGTTATCGGTGCACACACTTTCCTTCTTGTCAAACGAATATCTACCCTCCAAGATCCAAAGTGGAGCGTACATCTAATCTCCCACTTCATCTTTCAAGATGTAGAAAACAGTCAAGTATGTTAGAATGTAAATTTCAATACAAACTCAAGCAGCTTAGAAACTTGTCGTAGAAAAAAATATGGAGATGATCAGCAACTCTGTTGGGACTTTCAAATTTGGCAGAGGTGTTCAAAGTATACTCTTCAAGGCATGTTTCCTATTGATCTATTCAAACCGATAAAACAGTACTGACAATTGAATCCTTAATGTAAAAACTAAAAATGATTTATGCTCCTCTGAGTCCTCTCTTAGGTGAATAGAATTTAACTTTACTGTTGTTGGATTTTAGCTTTGCCACTTGAGCATAATTTCTTGAGAACTTGTGGGAACCCCTAGCTTTTAGATATGAAAATTAGAATTATGAGCACTTTGATCTGATTGTCACTATCAAGTTACGGTAATTATCTAATGGATTCTGGTTGTATATTAAGCTTAAAACATTGTAAAAACATCCTGAGCTATGTCCTATTAAAATCGCTCGCTAAGGTAAGCAAAGATATGATCATCATATCGATATATAATATTCATGGCTTGTGAAGGCTTATATGATTGAGATAGAAGAGTTTGTGGTCATAAAGAAACCCTCTCCAGAGTGCATGTTGAAATTCAAGAAACTGTTAGAAATATGCATCATGAATCATAAATCTGATAATCATTTTGCATTTGTGGTTGAAATTTAATTTCATTCGTAATTTAAATTACGTCAAATTGTTTTAGTGAGGGAATTTGGACCTCTGGTTGCTATTGCTCCTCATGTCTTCGTGACTTCAGTATCATATTAAAGCTGCTTTGTTTTTCCCTCGACTTTCATGAATCTTATTGGTAAAAGTTCAAGTGCTCGTATAGAATGATTTATAAGATTTTCATTGATGTTTGATGGATTTGGTAATTGGAAGCATGCTATTGTTATTACCTAATTACCCAAATTCATGATTCTTGCATTTTTTCTATATTTGGTTTTATTTTTCATATGTCGATATGTAAAAATCAAACTGCAAACAATCTGTTTGTTCGTACCACTTGTAGACCCCATTGGCCCACTAAACGTTTGAGATTTTTTGATCCATAATTGATTAGAAAATGATGTTTGAATTATCTATAGTATAATGTTACACACCCTTATTAGCCACCTATCTCATATATTTGTTTTCATTTTGATTTTTTCCCTGCCATAAATTTTCATTTGTCTTCTCTTGTTATCTCTCATATTCAGTTTCTACCTTTGTATTAAGAGCCCGTTTGATGTAGAATTTTTTTTGTAAGAATAGATTTTGCGAGAATTAATTTTTTTTGAAAAATGTGTGATTAAAAAGTATGGGAAACATATGAATTTACGTGCAAAATTATTTTATTGAGAGAACGTATAGTTAAAAATAAGTTTGAAAAAAACGTGTTTTAAAAATCTTTACCATACGGGTGTTAAATTATCAACTACGAAGTTGGTACTCGCGCTCTTAACAAATTATTAACAAAGTTATCTTACGTTGCTTGCTCGCTTGCTTTGTTTTATTATTGAAATTATTATTTTTCAATAATACACAATTAGTAGAGGTCCTTTCTAGATATTTCCAAAATCCTCATTGAAGTGTTTGGTGTTGATGGAGTTAGGTTTTTTCATTGATTATGAGCTTGACTAAACTTGAAATAAGAGGGTCCCATTCTAGAATCTTCGTAGAGCCTTTTTTTTTCCGGAATTGCTAAATGTACAGCTCGAGCTCTACAGCTCGGGTCACAGCAACCTCACAAAGCTGTGGGCCCCGCCCCTGAATGTGAGAGGGCTGTCACCCGGGCTGTGAGTAGCAAGATTCTTTTTTTTTTTTCCTCTTTCTTCTTTTTGATAGAGTCTATTTCATGATATATAAAAATCCACATATCAAGGGCCATGGAGGGGATATTTGAAAATGAAAGGTAGGTGATTATAGCCCACATTTTTGTCAAGATTTAAAAAATATTCTAAAATAAATTCGTCGGCCACTATGAAAGAGAAGTTACAACTATTTGTGGCTTGATACTTCAGAAGAGTCGAGGTCTTTTATGACACCGTCTACTTGGTTAAAACTCAATCACCTCTCTTAATTTTAATTTTAATTTTTCCTATTTGAAATTGGTTTGATAGAAGCAAGTTCGAATTATCGAGAAATACAACTATTTAATTTAACTTGTTTTCAATAACCATGAATAATCACTTCAGAATGATGTTTGTTTATGCTCCTTATCATGCTCGAAAGTTTTGCTAACAAATTGATATGCTTTGTTATTACGATATGCATTTGTCGTAAGTCGTAACACATTATTCATCTAACTAAGCAACTTATTTTCTAATTAAGAAATAAGTAACTTACCTCATAGCAATTCCATATGCAACTATATCATTTACATAGAAAAGTTAAAACCCTAGCTTCTCGTAGAGGTAAATTTTTCGTTGATCATTAAGTTTCCTTTTGGTAGAGATTTTTTTAGAATAAATTTTTTGAAATATGATTTTTTTTTTGAGAAAATGTGTTGTTAAAATTTAACCTAGTATGAAAAAAATATAAATTCACGTACAAAATTATTTTATTGAAAACTAAATTATCAAAAATGTGATCAAATTGGGATTAAGCCCCTGTTTGGTTCGGATTAAAATTTGATTTTAATTCAAGTTAAAGTCAAATAATCAATATTAACTACATTTTTCATGGGTCCCACAACTTTTCAACCACACATTTCAAAAAATTTTATCACGGTCTAATAAAAGTTTAATTTTGATCCCCACTGAACACCCTCTAAATTTGTGAACCATTGTCCACTGAATGATTGATTTCGTTTGTTCGTTAAATAAAAAGACGACATGACAAGATGTGAACAATATTTGTGTTCACCTTTCGGTTGATTATATTATACCACATAGATTGATTGATGTGTCATTTTTTATATTTAACAAAATTAATGAATTTAAACCAGGCGACTTAATGAAACGTATAGCTTTAGTGTCCCAAGTGTGACAATATAAAGTTCAATCCCTGGCTAGTCTTATCGAGTAACTAAAATTGCGTATTATAAAGAGATAGTCTTATCGTGCTATGAACAAATAATTCAGAAAAAAAAAATAGTAAGACATGAATAAGAATCCAATTGAAATTCAATACCAACGGGAAGTACCTAAATAATCAATAATAACAATAATAATAATAATAATAATAAACCCCCATTTTTATTTGAGAAGTTGATATAATATCGATTGCTACATTGCCAGAAAAAAAAGTCATTTTCCTCGACAGAATATCATGTGTCATTCTATGATTTGATTGTTTAAAAAAAGTCAATTTTTGCTTTACCTGCTGCTATCCCTACATCTATCAAATAGGTGGGCAATAATTTTTGACAAAGTGGCTTACTCTAATACTCATTAGCAATTAATTGATTCAAGAAATTACAAACGTATAAAAAGCTATCGCGTGATCTTACAAGTTGAGCTTCTTGATATGTCGTTATCTACAATATATTAAAAGTGAAGATTGAGGAAATTTTTTTAAATACCAATTTTACCCTTACATATTTACCTATATGCCCGATGTACTCTCATGGATAAAAAAAAACCTTGAAAGGTCGCATTAGTATGTTGTATTTATTATTTACCCTTATTTAAAAATTGTTTTAATTGACCATTACATATGAATATACATAATTTCAGATAAAAAGGGAATATTAAATGATTCAATCTATTACCTCTAAATAAGATAATTAATAATTATTATTGTTTTCAAAAAATAAGCCAATTAATTTCTACTAAACACAATTATTACTAATTATTAGTATACAATTATATATAATTCACTACGGAATACCAACTCGTTCAATTTATTTCCTGTAAATAAGATAATTAATTATTATTATTGTTTTTTTAAAAATAAGTCTATTAATTTCGACCAAACACAATTATTACTATTATTAATATACAATTAATAAAAACATTATTACATACGATTAAAAAGAAATTATAATAATGCTACGTACATAATTAACTTGAACAATATTACTTATAGAATTAATTTTTTTCTAACCTAATATTACATATTAAAAATATTATTGTACAATCAATTTGCATAGTACTTGATCAAAATTGATAACGGAACGGAACTTTATATAGAGGATGACTTTGTCAACTTACTAAAGGAAACAGTTATGGCATGTGACGATACTGAAACTTCGGAGTCACACTTAAATCAATTCAGCGTTCTCAAATTTAAAGCAAAATGCATCTTCTTCTGATTATATGACACGAATGAATTGGATTATTTCCCGAAGAAAGTGAATAATTTGTCAGCTTTGACGAAACAATAGATGATTTAAATCAATTTTATCAAGAAGAGTTTCTAAACACGTTGTTGCAAATGGTATCCCACCACATAAGTTAATCTTAAAAAGAAATTGTCAATTGATGCTATTGAGAAATCTGGACCCATCCACGATATTTGTAAAGGAACAAGAATTATTTACCGTGATTTCAAGAAATATATTATTCGTGCAGAACTAATCGTTGAACAACATGCTGGAAAACAAGTTTTTCTTCCATGTATTCCATTAACTCCAGCAAATGAAACAATTTTCAATACATCCATTAAACAAGAATCGAGGACAAACGGTGCCTACTATTGGAATATATCTTCTCGAACATGCATTCTCTCATGAGCAACTACAAGTTGCACTCTCTCGCGAAGTTTCAATGCAAACAACAAAAGTCTTGCTAAAAGTAGAAAATAAAAAGAAGAAACGATGTGGGACATTGATAAAAAAATATTGTGCACAAAGAATTGTTATTGTAATCATAACATTACAAAGTTTATTCAACATTTTCACATTATATACGTAATTTCATACAAAACTATATATATTTCAATTTTAATTTTTCATTTAACAATATCAATTACCTTAATTACTTTAAAAATCGTATTAGTATTTTTAAAACATTACGCATATTATTCATCTGATACATAAAACGTGCAACGCACGTGCTTACTACTAGGTATCTCAAAATATAGAAAGAACTATAATAAGGTTTCTTCTACATTGGTCAAGTTCAAAGGAGAATACACTTAGCCCCTTATTGATTTAGATTATAAAAAAAAAATTTGATTAAAAAGATAAAATCAACAATTAATTTTAACCACATATTTTATAGGATCGCTATTTAATCACACATTTGATCAACTTTTATTAAATTGACTAAAAATTTTATTTTTAGCAAAACCAAAACGGAAGCTTGTTGAAGTTGTTTATGGGGCAAGAAATAAAAAAAATCCCTCAATATAAGAATAGGAAACCTCTTTAAAAGGAATAATTTATTATTTCATTTCTCATATCTTAAGATACCATGCTTCATTATAGAGAACAGAGTCACAATCTAATTGGAAAACTATACATATAAATACTATTAAATTTTGGTTTTAAAAACGATTTACTTAACCACGATTAACTGTTGTTGAGCTTCAATCCTAATTTCTTCCTTCATCCTTCTTATGAAATCTTCAAATTTCTTGTTTAATTCTTCTGTACTCGTATGATCTTCTTCTTCTTCTTCTTCTTCTTCAACTTCTTGTCTGTACACTTGTTCATCCTCTAAAAACCAGCCATTTTCAGACTCAATTTCCTTTTCCACTTCTTCAAAATGGAAGTTTCCTCCACCGCCGCCGCCACTGCCATCCACATTCAGCAACTCACTCTCTTCTTCTTCTTCTTCCCCTCCATATACACCATTTTGCACCAAAGTCGCTTCCTCTAACAAGCCATTTTTTGAATCAGTTTCCTTTTCCACATCTTCAAAGTGGCAGTTCCCTCCACCACCACCACTGCCACCACCACTGCCATCTCCATTCAGTAACTCACTCTCAGTTTCCTTTTCACCTTCTTCAACTACACCATTTTTCACTAAAACTTCCTTCTCTAACAAGGCTTCTTTTATGTCAAGCAATATTTGCAGCTCACCAAGATCAAATCCCAAGGAAGAAGGAACTAAACCAGAGGTTTTTGAAAGAAAAAACAGTAGTCCATTGCATATCAAAAATATGCAATTTTTGTTCAAGGCATGCAGGCTTGGGAACTGGAAAGAGACCAATGAAAAGTAGGAAGCAATGAAGGTAAATACAAAAACTGAGAATAATAATGGAATGATGATCTTCTTCCTTAGATTTTGAGCGTCCATTTCATTTTATGTGCAGAGTCTTGGATGGGTGCAGAATTGTGCAATGAGGAAATTATGAGGATCTCAGATGTGTCAATCCATGGTGGGTATCCTTTTATAGGCTAGTCGAGTAGAGTCTCAGTGTATGTTTAATACATACTGGGTAGTAATTTTGTTACTTGATATAATACGAATTAAACTATTTGTACAGAAATATTTTGACAGATGCTGAGATGACATACATTGTGCTCTTGTTTGAACCACATTAAAATTTTCATTCTCATTCTTTTACTCATTTTCAATCACACATTTTTCAATAAAATAATATTTTTCATCACACCAATAATTTTTCCTTTTTTTCAACCACACATTCTTTTTCAATTTACTATTCTAAAATACATTCTTCCAAAATAATGAAACTCAGCACACCCTATAATATAAACAATCATGCTACATGTACATAAGCATTCACATAATCTTTTACACCCCCTCAAATGGAGGGAAGGGACACACACAATAAAGAATTAAGCTAAATGAACATAACGGTTGACATAGGGGTTGACCGATCCCTCACATTGCATGTGGGTCCCGACCTGAATTAAATAATGTCAACCTCCCCATGTGTGTGTAGGGTGTCATCCCCTATGTCAACTATTATGTTCGTGTAGCAAAACTCCACAATAAAATATTCGCTCATATTATTCATGTGAGATAGGTGAACGTACACCTGATGTACAAACAACTTTATCCTAATATAAATGAATCTACTTGTACAGAAATATTTTGTCAAATGCTGAGGTGGTATGATTCATTTAATACAGCCCCAGCCCCAACGGCAGGGGAGTTCTGTGGATGGATTGTGATTGCCACTTAAAAAGGGAACCACCTCTACCCCATGTAAGTAAGAGTGACATTCATGTATACCAATTTGAGGTTGACTGCATAGTTGAGGAAATCGATTTTGGACCAAGAAATCAGATAAATAGACAGGAAGATTCTGTAAAAGATAATAAAAGGGTGAATCAATAAAGTTCCTTATGCGCGTTTTATCAATTCATCCCATGGACAGGTGAACCAAATAAGTCGAGGCTCTTGTTAAGGCAGTACAAGGCATTCAAGATTAGTCAAAAGAACTCGAAACCAACTACACCCGAACTCCGGGTGGATAAGCTCAAGACACATAGATAGGAGCAAACGGAACACTGAAACATTAAGCTCAACACCCACATAGGCTAAGTCAATACCACCTTCCAACTTGAACATAATATTCGTAACTGATGACCGTTGGAGTGAAACTGATTGCACCAGTCTAATGGCAGAGCTCACAACCCTACGACTGTTGAATAACCAACCCTTCTGCCTCAAATATGATTCGTACTTCGAGGAACAATGTCAAAATCAAATTATGCACTGCACAAATGTCTTCCCTAAATCAAATATCCCTTATAAAAACACTGTATATCAACCAGTTTTAACTTCATTCACAAGTCCACTTGTTTGGAGGCTATTTCCCTCAGCAAAAAACGTGAAGTTTAAGGTAAAAAAAAAAAAAAATTAGAGGTTAAAGGGTTATAATTAATTCAAGCAATCAATTTTTCAACGTCTCTATTAATACTCCATGGAGAAATACAGAATAACTATAGGTCTATATGAAGTTTCTCACAGCAAAATGCAACCACAACAGGTCCTGCCAAATCCCCCAATGCACAGCCTGCAGAAAATGCCCACAAGGGAGTTCATTACTTGTTCATCATATTTTAGAAGAAATCTCGACATAAATTCTGAATAGTCAATTGCAAAAATACAAATTATAAAAATGTTAATGCGTGTCAAGTCCCTTACCAATCCATTGACCTGCTGAAGGACGAAACAATGCAGCTCCGATACCGGCCCCAACCGATGCAAATATAAGTGACGAACCACATCTTATAGTGACACCATAAACCTTCTTTCCAAGAATTCGAATTTGTTCTGCTTTGTCAACCTCGCTGGTCTCTTCTTTGGATTTAGACAGAGAAGAAACGAATCTATAAATATCAATGCCGACTTGGACGAACCATGATGCTAAAATTCCAAGAAAGTGTCCTGTTAAATATCAGCAAATGCATGATCAGAAAATGAGGTTTAAGAGAACAAAGCGAATAAACATAGATGTGACCTCTGAAAGTTGTTCTGCTAACGCTGAAAATGTATACTGGAGTTGACATTCCCCTCTGAGCCTTGCGCGTGGCTGATTTTGGAACATCTGGACAGTTTGATTAATAGTATTAGGCTGGTTATTGGTTAACAACATAAATCCATAGGACTCGGATCTTTGACATCATTGAAAGCAATATACCTTTGAGGAGTTTCCAGGCCATACGCTGTGAGATATAATGAACTGCAAGTCTTTCAAGAATGCGTCTCGTGGTTACAACAGTGGTCTGGACCGTAACACACAATAAGATTTTACTTCAGTCATTGATTATCGGATGGAAATAAAGAACTGCACAATTTTCATGCAATAACAAAGAAATAAAAAACCCAGCAGGGGAGTGAATGTGGAAAACTAAAGGAAAATATCTATTTTGGGGTCAGGTTTAGAATAAATATCTAACGTAAAGACAAACAGACAGGGAGTTGAAAATAGTTAACACAAGAAAGCACTAGGATTAAATCAACTGGCGGTGAACCTTTTTTTCTCAAAAAATGTGAGATGAGAAAAGCCTATGTGATTTTAAGATCTTACAATAAGCTTACTAAAGTAGGGATGAATTGTAGCTAGCTTATATCTAGGGGAAATGTCAAGTATTATAATTTGTAAACAAATCTATTGACTGAAATGAAGCATGGGTTTCCAACAATACATGAAACATCAAAATTGCATATATTCACTCCTATACGTTTTTCAACGTAAGATTGAATGCTTTTATTCTGTAAAACTAGCATAACAGCAAACAACTAGCATAACAGCAAACAGATATTCCTATTGTCATCAAATACAGCCTGGACTCCAATAACTCTTGCAATAGAGATACCATGGCACACCAAGAGGGAGAAAATGATAATCGAAGCACGCCAGAAGCATATTCTAAGACATGTTTCAGTAATGCAACCTGATGGAGTTATATTTTAATAGTACCTAAGCGTGTTAATCACTGTCAAGAATCCATGGGCAATACAAAGACAAATTTACAGCTAATAGTAGTTCAGAAGATACAAGCATTAGATGTTATGCATAGCTGCTTGCTTGTCAGTGACAAAGGTTTGGTTGTAATATCAACAGTACAAGAGTAACGTAGGCCACATAATCACCCCCATAACTCCAAAACATCCCCTCGTGTACTGACTACCCCTACACTATACTAATCAATCATGCCATTGTCCCTTGTTTTGATGTGTCCAATCAGTGTGAACTTTGATTTGTGTCTAATTTAAGGAAACCTCAATATTTACGGGGACGATCAAAATAATAGCTAGCATGTGATAGGAATTTCCATATCTCGTTGAGGAGTAAGAAGAGGTCTATGATTGTGTTCAGTATTCACAATTAAAAAATGGACATCATACATTAAAAATCCAATAGAGAAAAGTCTTCCTCACTTGGCATACAAGCAAGGTTACATGTAGTTCGCAAAGAAAATCAACATCATAACGAAACAGAAGGGAAATCGATTATGCCTCCTGATTTTTCCTTAAAATCATAGTATAAATCAAATGTAACACAGGGAAACCCCTAGAAGCACGACACATCTTATAAAGCCAACACACCGTCACTGGAAAATTAGATCCATGCATACATTGTTGCAGCCCAAACAGCAGCCTCGAGTGTATAATGTATATTAAGCCCTTGTTTGGTACCCACTATTTCAAAAATACATTTTTTTCTCTTTTATTTTCAACCATATTCTTCAATAAAATAATATTACGTGGAAACCTAAAACTTTTCCTTATTTTTAAACCACACATTCTCCATCAAATCACTATTCCAAAATGCATTTTTTGAAAAAAAAAATGGGGCTCAAACATGCTCTAATACAAGTAAAACCTACTGGCCAGGGAGCAATGGCATGGATAATCCTATGTCATCCATCAGAATCTAATTATACATCAAGATAACTATAGATCGCAACAATAAAAAAATAAACCGTGTTCTTGTGACACAAAAATGGCTACAGCTGCTAGTTAATCAATATTTTATTACATCCTCCTGTCCATAAATCGCAACTCAGAAATTTTTACCAGTGAGTTAATTTGATAACAGACAACTTCATCTTTTCTATTCAGCGTGGCATACCCAATAAGTTTTAGTCAATCTCATGACATTATGAAGTAAAACTTACGTAAAATAAAAGTAATGAAGAACAAATGCATCCATGAAGACAAATACATGTTCTTCAGCAATAACATTTTAAAATGGAAAGGAAGCAATCTACAGTTAACAATTGCACCATTCTTCTCCAACCCACCCACAATCTATAATACTGGCAATTTAGATAAAGCAGTATAATCAATCAAAAACCCAGAAACTAATGAAAGAAGATGAAAAATAAGAAAATTTGGTCAATTCACCTCACGAACGATTTGCTTCACTGATTTCTTGAAGGGCACAACCAAATCTAAATGGCGCTCTTCTGGAGTTTCCTGTAGAAAATCTTCGTCGTCGTCTTCCATATTTGTACGGGGCTCAACGAGAGGCAAATAGAATAACAGGAAGGACCTCAGGGATGTCAATGCAAGAGTTCTCCAGTGAAATGCCGAGAATAAAGGTTTCAATTCAATATTGTACTCCTTGGTATTATACTTCAAAGAATCATTCAGAAAGATATTTCCAGATGCAGTCCGTAGACTAGAAATGTAATCTTCGTTTACTGCTGCACCAGCATCACAGAAAGCAACTCGTGACACACTGTCACTGTACCATGACCATCATATGAAAAACAAGGTCAAAAACAATAAAAGGAGTGTCTCAATCCACACATCAGGCCCACAAGTATCAATCATATCCTGATGTCACTAAATAACTCAGTCCCCAAGCAATTTCTTTTTTTTTTAAAAAGAAAGAAAGAAAGAAAAAAGAAAAAGAAGAGTCTCTTTGTAGTTAAAACAAGTTTAAATTATAATCTCCATGCATCATTCCCTCCTCTCCTAGATCACAGTGCAACATATGTTGACATATCAAGTAATCCTGCATGAAATAGCACAAAATATGACATGACAAAATGCTATGCAGGGTAAAATGACACTTTGTCCACTGAAACTGAACCACATAAACTGTAAACTCTTTTGGAGCTCCCATGTTAGCCTTCTAAATCTTACAAATTCTGTGATACACCACACTATGCATTTTCTTTAAGCATGCTTAGCTAAGGGGGACAAGCTATGACCATTCACAAAGGCATGGTGCTTGTACTTGACAAATGCACACATGCAAACACAACAAGGATGATAAAACAAATCCATAGAATTATATTACTTGGATTGCCTGACATGTTTCCAACCCAAAAACGCTATCCACATGTCACTAACTTTAAGCTCTCAAACGGAAAATTTATCCATGTTCAAGTAGACCCAAGGAGCAGATTTTGACATGTGCATGCATGCAAACAGGCATACAATAATAAAAGAAATCTATCAATTAACATTACTTGGATATCTGGCACGTAAGATCAACCCAAAAGATTCTATTAAAATTTCAAAACCTCCTTTAACCAGCTATGTGAATTCCATCAGAATGTTGTGATTTTGTCCAACTATCGGTTAACATATTTAATAAATACATGTTAAGTTTGGCCTTTTAAAAAAGGAAGTACAGTTTTAGAAAATGAGTAAATAAAGAAAGAAAATAGAAGAAACAAGTTAATCATGCATTCTTGAAAAAATTCAATTTGGCATATTCCATCAACTTTGGGTCTTCTGAAAATTGAGGTAGGTGCACAATCAATCGCAAAAATATCAGAGACAATACAGCATCGTTAACAACTATTAAAATGCATACACAAAAAGAAGATAGAAAGAAAAGCATATATAGTTATGTTTAGCTGAAGACAGATATCAATACAGGCAAAATGAGTGTTGCCAGCAACAGGAATTGAGTTACTAGTACCTGCAACTGTTGCTGGTAAGCAACCATAAATTAAAAGTTCACCTACCTTGTCTCATCATTCCCAAAACTACCCAGATAGACGCTTCAATTTTAACCAATGTATTCTTCCATCTATGTAACTATTAGATACTTCTATCTGTTTACTCCGATCTAGTAAAGCATTCACCGGAATTCCAGGCACCATAAAGTTGATAACTCAACGATAATCAATAAGAACAAGTGATTGATACTAATATAACTTACGATCTGAGGAAATTTCTAAAATCCTCAAACTAGAAATCAGTACATTTATCGCAGCATAAATTACTTTATCTGGTCCATAGAATGTCATAGCAATAAGAACATATATAAATATAAACAGCCCATCCATTTGTCCAAGTAAACACAGGAGCGCGAAATAATTACCCGAAGAATGCCCTGGCGGCAAAAGGGGTGCCGGCAGCAACAGATGCCGCGGCGGCTGAAGCAGCGACTGTAGATGAAAATAGACCGGAGGAATGCAGGGTTTGGCCATTCAAGCCCGGATTCTTCCTCAATAGATCTAGTACAATTGCAACTCCCGCCATCTTCGTCTTCAATTCAAGAAATTAAAACTCGATAATGCTAATGAAGATAATAATTACTCACAACATGAGTAAGATTTCAATTATTTCTGATTGAAATGGAGAGCGTGTAGGAGTGACGTCGAGGTGTGTGGATCTTGCTGAGTGGAATCTGGGAAAGGAAAGAGTTGTCTGAAAGGTAATGGGCCAGTGGTTTTTGGGTATTATCAGAGAACATTGGCCTGTGTAGTATCCGTTAGGGACAAAGCGGGCTGGCCCAATCCAGGTCCTGTTTGAGCTCATTCTTTTAGAAAAGTATATTTATACTAGTGATTTTTTTAGAATGTATGATTAAAAAATTAAAAAAAAAATTGAATTTACTGTTACCTATAAAATTATTTTATGAGAAAATGTAAATTAAAAATTAATCACACTAACCTTCTTTATTTTTATTTTGATTATCAAGTGTACGTCTAAAATGACTCCTTCACGCTGGTTTGAGGAGACAGATTATCGATAAGGGGTGCGATTTTCAAAAAAGGTTTGAAGAGGTAAATATACCTAAAATATTTTTGTCATTAAAAATATAAAATTTCTATAATTATTTTTCGTTTATAATCAAAATAATGCTTAAAGACTTTGTGTTCACAGTTCTGAATATGCGTGCTAGTGAAAATTTAGACATGAAGTTTGTCGAAGAATTTGATAATGAATTATTTAAAGTTTTCAAAGTAAATACTTGTTTGATCCCGTTATTTTCAGAAATATATTTTTCTCTCTTTTATTTTCAATCACACATTCTTTAATGAATAATATTACACGCAAACTCATAAATTTTCATTATTTTTTAATCATGTATTCTCCGTCAAAAATACTATTTCAAATATATTTTGGGTATATGTATAAATGATTTTTCAATACTTAAAAATGTAAATGTATTTGTAAAAAATCATATTTATAAGTTTATAAACTAAAACAAGGTGTTAGGTATAAACATATACTTTTTGCGATTTGATTAAATTTTAGCTAAAAATAGTATATGTTAGTTTTTTTTGCTTATAATCTTATCTATGTCTCTTAAGTTTTTTCTTTGCATCTTGTATTCAACCTTTCAATAATTACTTCGTATCGTACACATGGGCGGAGCCAGGATTTCTCCTCAGGTGGGGCACAACTTATCGACATTGAACGTCGAATTTTTGTCATTGATGAAATGATAATAAAAGTACAAAACAATAATACGACAATATTACAAATGACATAATTTATAAATTACACTTGTTCCTTTCGAGTTTTCATATTTTGATATCGTTGTACAATAACTTCATTATCGAGCTTCAAAAATATATCTTTCTCTACATAAACAATTGTGCTATCATTCATCCACTGATCACCCATCCGATTACGCAATCTATCCTTTACAATGCTTGTTGCAGAAAATACTCTCTCCACAGTAGCGGTAGCAACCGGTAGAATCAATGCTAAAGTCAAAAGCTTGTAAACCAATGGATATACCATATTTTTCTTTGTCAGAACTAACTTTTCTGCAAGATCACCAAGGCCGTTCAACCCTTCAAACTCTTTGTTAGAGCGCATGTCAAAAATATAAGTCCCCAGTTGATCATGAAGTACAACAAGATCCACTGGAGAGTAATCTAATGGATAAAGCTCAGCAAGTCGAATCAAACTTTTCTTGTCAAAAGAAGAAAATGAATCTTGTGGACATAAACAAGCTATACACATGAGTAACTCTGTATTTACCTCTGAGAATCGATCATTCAATTCTTGAAGTTGAAGATCGATGACAGAGTAGAACAAATCGACCTGATAATGATGTAAATTTGTAAGTTCTGGAGGATTCCGTTGTGGGCGACCACGAAGTGCACGACGTACAAACATTTCATCCATGTCGAGTACATCAATATAATGCTGTTGACAGAAAGAACATACTTCTTCCAAGAAGGAGTCCCACCCTTCATCTCTCATTAGTTGTAGTCGTTGTTTGCATGACTTCACCAATTGCATTGCGTTCACAATGTCTTGATCTTTCCGTTGTAATGATTTTGACAGTTCATTTGAAATCCCTAAGACACTTCTCATCAGTTGTAAATGAAATGCAAAATCAAATGTCTGTATCGACTCCAATAAATTTGTCGCGTCGGATCTTTGGTCACAAGAACAAGAGTCATCCTCAACAATCATTGTAAGTACATCAATAACAGAAGAGAACATGGCAAGTAAGCTGACCAATGAATTATAGTGTGAACCCCATCGCGTATCACCAGCACGTTGAAGGGTTGTTTCTTGATTAAGTCCCCGTCCACTTAAAATCTCACCCTTCTCCAAGGCCTCAACAATAAAGTCTGATTGCTTCTCTCGAAGAAGATCACAACGTTTAGAAGATGCTCCAACAGTATTTACCACATCACCGACTACACGAAAGAAGTTAGTAATAGGAATATTCTTCTTCGCAACAGCTACAAGAGCTAACTGGAGTTGATGAGCAAAACAGTGAATGTAAAAGGCACATGGATTCTCCTTTAAAATTAGTGATTTTAGACCATTAAATTTACCTTGCATATTACTTGCCCCATCATAACCTTGTCCTCTCAATCTAGACATGCTCAAGTTATATCTAGAAAATACCTTATCAATTGCAGCCTTCAGTGATAAAGCCGTGGTACTTGAGACATGTTCAATCCCTATGAAGCGTTCATTCACATGCCCACAGTTATCTAAATAACGTATTACAATTGACATTTGTTCCTTCATTGACACATCACGAGATTCATCAACTAGAATAGAAAATAATGAATCGCCAAGATCTTTGACAATAACATTGATTGTCTCAACGGCACAAGCATTCACTATATCCTTTTGAACATCGGGTGATGTCAATTTGCAATTTTGAGGAGCATTTCCAAATGTCACAGCTTTTATGTCTTCATTATGAGCAGCCAAAAATTCTAATTGGACTAAGAAATTGCCTGGATTGAGAGAATCACTAGACTCATCATGTCCCCGAAATGAGTGTCCTTGTCTCAATAGAAGTCGAACACAATCAATAGATGCATTAAGACGGGTAACATATGCACTTCGTACTTGTTCTGACTGCTTGTGAAAAACTGATTCAATGTGTTGGTCTTGATTCATCAAAGCTTCGCACTTAATGCGAGATTGATTATGTGCACTATCGTGTTCTCCAACATGAGTATGAAGCTTTTTTTTCTCTTTCCAACATGTGAAACCTTCACCAACAAAATACTCACCCCCACCTTGCTTTCCAGAACTTGATTTAAAAAGATAACAATACAAACAATAAGCAGCATCTTTTTCTACACTATACTCCAACCAAGAACCGAACTCTTTAAACCAAGAAGGATTAAATCGTCTAGCTTTTACTCCAAATTGTCGTTTTGGAAAGTCATGATCATGTGGCTGACAAGGACCCATTAACATATATGCTCTTCGAACTTGATCTCGGATGTTAGCATTGTAATTCAAAATGGGTATCCTTAGACCAGGATCAGTTGGAAGTTTATTGACGTCAAATTCCACATTATTCGACGTCGCCCCAACAACATTTACGTTGTCCAAGTTTATTCTTTGAAAGAATCTCTTCATAACATTTCAACAATTTCAATTCAACAATACCCAAATTTCAACAATCCCAATGTCAACAATACCCAATTTCAATCCAGCAATACCCAATTTCAAATTTTCAACAATCCCTAATTTCTACTCAGCAATATCCAATTTCAACAATGCCCAATTTCTACTCAACAATATCCAATTTCAGCAATACCCAATTTCAACAAACAAGTCAACAATACCCAATTTCCTACTCAGCAGTAAGCAATACCCAAATTTCATCCATACCCAATTTCAATTCCATAACAACAGTCAATCTCTGATTCTCTAGTCTCAACTCTACTGCACAAAATTAAACTTCTATGTTCAGATACATTTACCAAAGGTTAAACAAACGAAAGAAAATAGAGTTTTTACGAAAAATTAAAAGACGGAGAATTGAAAGAGACTTACATAAACTATGCCTTTGAATCTGAAATTGAAATTTTGAGTAGAGGAAGAGAGCAGAGCTGCAGAGGAGGTGGTTCGGTGGAGGAGGAGAGCAGAGGAGGGGACTACGACGGACTGTGGAGCACTGGAGTGTGGAGGATGTACCTTTTCGCCTGAACCTTGCGGAGGCGACTGCGAGGCCGAGGCGGACGGTTGAGGCCGAGAGGAAGGAGTCCGGAGGCGGAGGCGTGAGGGTCAGGTTGCGAACGGGAGGCTGAGACAGTGAGACTTGAGAGCTGGGGAGCAATCGATCGAAGAGGAAGGAGAGGATGGAGTCGTTTGAGTCTTTGAGAGGAAGGAGTCGATTTGATGAAGAAGGAATGAGAGGATGGAGTCAGGTTAAATGTTTGGGCTATTTCTTGGACAGTTGGGCTGGGCTTTAATGTAAAAAATAAAAAATAAAAAAAATTGAGGAGCCCAGAAGTTCAGAGTGGGCCTGTGCCCTCCCTGGGCCTTACTGGGCTCCGCCCCTGATCGTACACAATGACAATGTTTTGTCGGGAAATCAATTAGCAGTACATAAAAAGACTCGTTGGCTCTCATATTTTATTAGAAGACTTTGTCGAAACCATCATTAAAGACAACGTGATGATTAATTGAATATAAATTATAAAAGTGCGAAGGTAAAAAAGTTGAGAACATAAATTCAACAATGCGCAAATATTGAGTACCTTACTGCAATTAAAATAAGGTGCAACAAACTAATTTTTATCTTACTAGTTCAATTTAAATATTTTTATTTTTTTGTTATTAAAAAAATACTAGGGACAAATAAATCTTTTAACTCAATCTTGACTAAATCTTTAAACAGAAATTGTCATAACGGAAAATTTATTTTGATTTTGAGAATGAGAATTTGACGAAAAAAATTAGAGACGTAAACGTGATAAGGAGTAAAATGTATGAACCTTTTATGCAATTAAATTCCAAGCAATTATTGGAGA